GACCAGAGAGCAGCAGGCTGCTCAAGCCCAGGTGTCACCATGCTCTCCAATCCAGGACTGACCACTTGTCACTAGAAGTTGCTTCTAGACTAGCGGAATTGTCCTTGGTTGCAGGGTTCTGTCCCCTTTTGTGTCTTCACAGCATTTTAGTTGAATTTGAAAGTGCTGACAAGGCTGCAAACCTCTGCCATTTTCCTCTGAAGGTCCCAACCGTAAAATCATCAAGCCATGCTTTTAATATATGTGGGACAGTGAACACTGATACATGACCAGGTAAAACTGAGCCATGACCAGACTTAGCTTTTGACTCCAGTTTAGGCCAAATGGAATTTCACAAATGAGGACCTGGAGGGGAAGATGGTTACTGAGAGGCCAGATTCTGGCTTCCGGGAATAAAAATCTCCACATTCGATCATATTCGTACATCCTGATGTGAGCCTGCTCTGCATTAGCAAGGCAGCACAGCCCCCAACCCAACCGCCATCAGCCCTTCCTTCCCCCACTGCTGGCTGACACCTGCTGTGTATGAGGCACCCTGGGCAGCAAAGTGAAAAAAACAGAAACATCTCCATCTGCAAGAGCCTAATAATCATATAAATCAACCACACATGAAGAAAGAAATGTTGTTTTATTTACACTTATGTGACAAATGTTGACAGAAAAGTGATTTCCCAAGGACATAAATCCAAAAAAAAAAAAAACAAAGGAAAAAAAACCGATTTCTACGTAACAAAACATGACCAAAGAGAGAAAATTCAATGACCCTTGCCTACCCTTGGGAGAACATGCTCAGCTATAGTGTGTGGGAGTGTAGTTTGCCTGTGGCGATACGCTAGGTGGACCCTCAAAGATTCCTGGTGGGGATGCTTTGCAGAAACTGCACTGAACTAAATCTGCTTTGCTGTAAGTCAGATGGGAAATGCACATGAGCAGAAATAGAGAACTGCTTTTTGTGCTACTCGCCCTCTTCTTTTTTCTTGATCTGCCATGAATTTTTTTTCAACTAAGGGCTGCGCTTACTCACACACTCATTTTCTGTCTCATTACTTCCCGAAGATGGCCTGGAGGGGTAACTAATACCAGGAAGGCAGCACTCAGAGTGGGGCCTGTGAGGCGAAGGAGGGGTTGTTTTATGGCGGAGTTGGAGGGCTGTACATATACTGCGGGATGAGACCGAGGGGCAGAGGTCCTGGGGATTCTGGATCTGAATTTTTATTTCTTCATGACCTTCACATTTCTGCATGGTTCACAGAACGCCTGATGGGTAGGACCCCAAGAAGGACAGAAACACGTGACAACCCTGTGGAGTGGAGACTGAACTGGCCAACAGGCAACAAGGAAGAAGCCCACCCAACAGCCACACACACCCACATCCACATGGGCCACGGGTCCCCTCCAAGGCACACATACATCCGCACAGGCCACAGGCCACCTCCAGGGCTGCGTTTCAGACACAGGCTGCTGTGAAGGGCGGGGCCTTTCTTGCACCCTTCTCTCACCCTTTACCTCTGTGGTACAGAACATTCCTGGGCTCCCAACAAAGGATAAGCGAGAGCTGGAGAGTGCTGAATGAACCCACTTGCCAGTCAGAAGCTTTGCAGCCTTGACTTCCATCAAAACCAGAGGAGGACTGAGCTGCAGATGCTCTTCCAGAGAGAGTCATTCTGGATGACGCCCCACTGAGACTAGAGCACATCACTTGGGAATGTGACAGAAACCCTTTGATTCCTGTCAACGGATTCACTGACCAACCTCAAAGACCTAAGCCCAAGCAAACTGTCGCCCAGGTAACAAATGAATCCAATGAAAGAGTGAATATGACTGTAGAACTCCTGTGGGTAACATTTCAGAGTTTGTGGACACAAAGCATAGAAAGGGCCCAAAGAAAAAGAGAAATAAATATTAATTCTGTCTTAAATAAGGCAGAATCTGAAAGCTAAAAACTGGCAAATAACGTCAGCCTTTAACTCTAGACCAATTATCAGGCAGGTTGCAAGTGAGACCATAGCCAGGACCGTGAGGTGGGATGGAGGGCCTCTGGGCTTTTCCCTGATTGGCACAGGGCAGACCCACTTGCCTTACTTCCTCTCTTGACACGACTGTCAATCGCGAGTTTTATGAAGACTCAGAGGGAAGATGAACCACATTCCCGCCATTTGTTCAACAAGGCTGGCTGAGCATCTGCTGTCACGGTAGGCACTGTAGCAAGTGCTTGGGACTCAGCAACCAGAGAGACGGGTGAAGGCCCTGTTCATGGAACACAAGGGGTGGACCAGCTGACAGGATGAAGACTCCGAACCATCCAGTGAGAGAAGCACACCAACCCCCATGGCATCTCATTGTCCTCAGGGGCCTTGACAACCCAGTGTGCACATGTTGCACATGTGCTTATCATGTGTGCACTCTCCATGTCTGGAAAGGTTCTGAACAGACACACACGACTGAGCCTCTGGATGGAAATGGAGGGGAAAAAGAAGGTCACTGTATTATTCTGTCCCATTGTTTTTGTAACAAGCATGCAGAAATTTCAACAGTTTAAAATCAACATAATGAAAAAGAACACAAAGGTTGCCAAGTTGCTCGAGTGGCTAGACAGACCCATCTGGAAGGTCAGACGTGCCGTCCTACCATCCGGGAGGTGGACTGTGTCCACACCATCAGGGAAGCCCCGAGTAGGTCCTCCAGGGCTGAGATGCTCTGGTTCTAGCTGGGCATGTGAAGGCTATTTGGGACCTAGTGACAATACTTAAATATGCCTGTTTGTATTCCTCACAGATCTGTTGCCATCTGTTGATGGCAACAGCCAGTGGTGCTGGGAACATTCCAGGAAGGTGCAAGGGGCAAAGGCACCGTTCAGGGTGCGTATAACGTGCTCTGGGCTTTTCCCTGATCTCATCCTAGAATTATCCTATCTTTTGCTATGTTTTGAGTGTGCACGTCTGTCCAAAACTCGTAGGTTGGAACTTAAACCCCAGAGGTGGAGCCTTTTGAGGGCAGAGCCTTCAAGAATGGATTAGTGCTCTTGTAAGAGAGGTTGCAGGGTCTGAGAGCCCTTGGCCTCCATCTTCACCATGAGAGGGTGCAGCAACATGGCGTTCTGGAAGTAGAGAGTACCCAACCAGATATCAAACCTGCCGGCACCTTGATCCTGGACGTTCAGCCTCCAGACTGTGAGAAACAGATCTCAGTCGGGCTCGGTGGCTCAGCCTGTAATCCCAGTGTTTTGGGAGGCTGAGGTGAATGGATTGCCTGAGCCCACGGGTTCGAGACCCACCTGGGCAACTTGGCGAG